GAGTAAAAAAATTTATATTCTGTAGATCCACAATTAATTTCAAACACAATAATAAATTTTGAACTGGCTGAGGTATCAAAATTTTCATATATTATTGGATGGGTTATTTATAAATTAATTAAAAGTGACAACATAATGAAATTATACCTTAAATATGAATTTATATGTATTTATCTTAAGGTTCTAAGTTTAGAAAAAGTTGTATATGAGCGAAATATATGATCCTAGATAACAAATGTGGTGCTGGATCAAGATTTTTTGGATTTCATGTATAAATTAGAATCAATAATTTTATTATTATTTGAAAAATATAATGATCTTGGTCCTGATATTCTTTTATATATTCATAAAAGTTTATTATGTAATTTATCATTATTGGAATCTTTTAATATACTTATTAATATTGTCGATCAAAAACTATATATAAGTGCCAAAAATAATAAGTTAACAGATGAAGTTAAAGGTTTTCTCTATGAACAAATTATTATTATCTATATGAAAAGTAGACAAAAGTCCTGAAGAAGATTCAATGAATTTATTTCTGAAAAAGGAACCTCAAGTTTTCATGAAAACCTTAAAGTTATGAAAAAAGATATAAAAAAAATTGAAAATTATACATCAATAAAAAAATCTAGTATTCCGATGGAACCTATACTTGAATTAAATCAGCTTCAAATATGGGCATACCTGAAAAATGCTGAAGAATAATTCTCTAAAATATTTTTAGTAAATGAGTTGCAATGGTTAATTTGAGCATTTGGTGTTGAATTAAGAAATAAATGAAAAAAAGATTTAGTACCTGTGATTTTGGAATACTTAAAAAAGGATACACCTTTTACTAAAGAAGCATTAGCGAAGGAACAAATTTTTTCATTCTAAAATTACTATAATTTTCAATAAAGTGATTTGAAATTAATTTCAAATTAATAATTTTGTAATAAAAAGTTAAATAACATAATCAATTGTTGTCCAATTTAATACAAAACACTTTGTACTCATAGAATTAGGGTAAGAGATCTCGCCTTTTAAAATCAGCTACTTGAAAATAAGTGAACATAATTTTTTTTATGAAAAAAATCATTTTTATATAATTAAAAAATATTTGTATAACAGATTTATTAAATTCAAATTAGCAATTTCATTTATAATTATGTAATTCTGTATTGTCCTCCCCATTAAAATAACTATCCTCTAGTTATTATTACGATTATTATCATTCGTTGTCGTCATTATAATTATTATTACGATTGTCATTATCGTAATTATTATTACAATCATTATCAATATCTATAATGTCTTGTTTTATAAATTTAATAAATTAATTTTTTAATTATAAACAAAGTATAATAAATATAATTTGTAAATATAGTAC